CAAGAGAAAAGAATTTCTCCCAGTTCTACTCATGTAAGCAAACAGAATTACAAAATACTAATAAAATTGTGAACACATGATGTAAACAAAGTAACTAAATTTTCACATATGTTAAGACATAACATAGGAAATTCGACCTCTTCTTTCTTATCAAAGTAGATTGTTACTGATTTTATTACCTTTAAAATTATATTAAAATTATAAGTGGATTTTAAGCCTAACTCAATCTCACAAAACCAGTTTGTAGGGTGAGGTTTGCATCCACTTATAAACTAAGAATTGGCTTTATCTATAGTCGATGTGGAACTTCCAACACACCCCTTTCACGCTGAAGTATAGACATCTCGTGCGTGATAGTAGAAATTGGATGGTCCGATAACGGCCCGATTGCGAGTGGAATAGAAGAATAGAATGTGATTACTAGAGATAAGGTCAATTCATAGTTTATAATTGGGTGCAAACCTCATCTTACAAATCGGTTTTGTGGGGTTGAGTTAGGCTTAAAACCCACCTTCTAACATGGTATCAGAACCATAGAGTCTATCCTAGCGAGTTCTAAATAGACATTCTATTCTTCTATTTCACCCGCTATCGGGCCGTTATCGGACCATCCAATTTCTATTATCACGCATGAGATGTCTATACCTCAGTGTGAAGGTAGTGTGTTGGAAGTCCACATCGACTAGAGATAAAGCCAATTCTTAGTTTATAAGTGAATGCAAACCTCACTCTACAAACCGGTTTTGTGGAGTTGAATTAGACTTAAAAGTCCACTTTCCAATCTCAAAACCCTCCGGAGAAAAAGAGCTACAATATTAAACTTTCATATTAAAACTCACATAAATGTTTCTTTTCCTTGACCCACATAAATGTTTCTTCCGAACCAGTGGTTGGAGATATTAAAACCCATTTAATATCAAAGATTGAAGCATGATCCACTTACCCTGTTTTCTAAAGTCTATGCAATTTAAAAAAGATTTGGTTTGTTGTCATGTCCATAACATAAATTACAAGTTGAGATGACGTTGATCGTGATGGTACCTGGCAAATGGAGAATCACGTGGTTACGCTTTCTATTTTCTAATTAGGGACTATTTTATAAGGCACCAGCACCACGTGTATCATATAATTTTCTTTCATAGATTTTATATGATCAATTTTCTTCGTTTAGAAGAATGGATTACCAAATCAATTAACATAAAATAATGCACATGGAACCAAAACTATCACTTAAATCTTAAACTAAAGGATAGCAATAGTGGACAGTGAATAGTCATCGATGTTGACCCTTCCACATGTGGTCCTCCTAACTATTTATTAATGGAACTGTGGGGGCAGACCAACATGTTAAATTTTCCTTTTGATTTTCTAACACATGTAATTAACACCAGCATTGAACTCAAACATCAATAGTGTCCCTTAAGTCAAAAGATCCTTTTCATGCTTTATCGCACTCCTTTTATAAGGTAAAAGAGCTGTGTCCAACAAAACATAAACTTTTTCAAACCACAACACAATCTAATTTGCATTCTCTAATGATGATTATGTCTCCTTAATGAAATCTAAGAACACCGTCTCTAGCTATGTCCATGGAATTGGCATCTACAAGAAGAATTGATTATTTGTGTAAAACAAGTTGGTCGTACATGTATCATTGCATCCTTTTCATAATTAAGTTCAGCCAAATTACTTAATATTTGAACTATCGATTTTTTTTTCCTGATAGCATCCCTGCAATGCATATCCAAATAGAAAATCCTCAGAAATAACTATTTTTGAAGGTATGGTTACCTGCATTTAGGGAATATAAATGAGAAAATAAGAATCAGGCTAGAAACACGACTCTGGTTTTCCGGAAACTAAACGCATATTTCTCTCAAATTTGATAGATTGTTTCATAAATTAAGGTTATAGACTACTGTTCAAGTAATTGGAAAAAGCTTTCTGATATAATTCTTATTATCTGTTTATTTGACAAGGAAACTGTCTTTAGAAAAATTAATTTATCTTTATTCTTCTAAAATTTTTTTGATAGGAGAGTTTATGAAAAAAAGTTTATCCGAACATGTATCAGTACTATTTTGTTAACTTCCACTTAGGTGATACCTGTTTCTTAGAAAAAATCAAATGAACAAAACCAACCACTTTTAATATGAATCAAAATATGACAGCAATATCAACTGTTGGCACACTTTGGCTTTTGTTCATTTTCAAACCACAAAAAGAAAATAGTGTAAACACAGTAGCATAATGCATGTTAGTAGACTTCATTGGTTAATTGTCATCTCAAGCAATAATAAACAAAAACATCAACAAAACCTCGACGGTTTGGTAATACTAAAAATGCGCCGTTTTCAAAACTGACAGCATTCCTCTACAATAAATTTGAGCATTGCTTCTTAAACATCGTGTGGCTTTTGTTTATGAGAATGCATTTTCTTTAATTAATAGAAGAATGCATGTATACGGAGATGCACATTAAATTCGAACTCAACCAATAAAAGCCAAACAAACATAAATCAGCATATATCATTTTGGTTGCTATTAATTATTAGCTATCGGGTCATAATATGTAATTAGTCGTAGTCATTGAAAGATTGGAATAGCTTATACGAAAAACATATTCCTCAAGATTTAATTGTATTAAGCATGTATCTTCAATTTGTTTCTTTGAAAATTGCGTCCATAAAAATTTTACGAAAAGGATTTGGAAGAAAAAGGACTCAACTTAAATAAACAGTTAATTGCAGCATGTTTCTAACAATAAATATCTGGATTCAGAAGCAATGTTATCCTCTAAAACCTGTAATATTGCTCCAACCTTTGAAGTATCATTCTTTAACCAGCTTGATGCTTTTATTCTACCTCTGGGCCAACGACCTATTCTTCCATGATCTTCATTTCTGTGTCTTAAAATTTATTTCAGGAATCTTTATCCTCAATAAATAATATCTAGCTCTGTTCGTATACAGAAGACAAAGGGTATGGCTGAATTCCTCAAAACTGAAATTAAGATAATTGTGACATTTTGTTATACCTTTATCCTACCCTGTATACAATTCTGTCACTGGGAAAAGATATTTTTGCAGTTGACTTATCACAATGACTTTGTGGGTGAAGAGGTTCAAGGCCATGCATGACACAGCAATTAAATATATAAAAAGAAATTAAATCGTATACTAAAACGCCAACAATTACAATGTAAGTTTATTGTTTTCGTAAATATTGAAAAAAAAAATGTTCATAAAATGTGAAAGAAATCGAGAAACCCCTTAAATTCAGACTTTTGTGAGCATGATAGCTGTTGCAATGTTGCCTGGCAGTAGGCATTTGCTTTGACTAAGATGTTTCAACATTTGTCACGTGTATCTTCATGGGTTGTCTTCAGTTTTAAACAACTCACTCATTATGATTACTCGATGAATTATTTTAATATTTAGTTAATATTTAAAATGTTTTTGCCAACATGCATGATTCAACCGTTGTCAACAGTGAACCACCGACGGTGCACGACCCCCTCACATAACCCTTGTCTTTATTCCATTTTCACATAAAAATAGTCATACTTTAACCATCCACTTGTAGAAGATGGAATATGCATCTGTGTGAAGTTAATCATGATGGATTCAAGTTTTAGAATTAGTTTGTGTATATTCTGAAGCTAAATTTAAGCTATAGTTTGAGATGATTTAACCTGCTATTGTATTTTATATTCTTTATAAAATCATTTTAAAATAATTACATACTAATAATATTTCTTAATCTAATTTATGTTTACATAATAAGATATTATAGTTAATATTATTTCTTTACAATATAATTTAATTTTAATTTAGATAGCTTAAATTATTTCATTTAGTTATATGCAATGCTATAAATAATATACTGGGACAACAAATTATATTAATTCGATCTTATGTTGCATATAATCGAAATTTTGATGAGATTATGTTCATGGATAAATAAATAAATTAAATAGGAATTGAGATGAATTCGTCCCAATCCATCAGCCCCGTGTGGGGAGTAACATCACACCATCGGTTCTGTTATAAAAAAATTAAGCCGAACACTAATGTTTTGTTTGCCTAATACCATTGTTACGAAGGTTTCTCTTTACACCTCCAATCATTTCTCCTTCCATCTCTAACTTTCTAAAATATTTATTAGTAATTTAGAAAAAAAAAATATAAACAAGGCTAAAAACTTCAACGAATTTCAAAACCTACTTAAAAACAAAAATAAAATTTCAAAATCCAAAAACAAATTTTGAAATCTAAAACAAATTTCAAAATTCATTTAATACCTCAACGTCACTTGTCACGCAAGAACAAGAAACAATGGTGATGTGAGATGGAACAACCAAGAAACAACGTCCACATATATGAAACAACATCCACATATATGAGAGAGATGAAAATGAGTTCTGGAGAGATGCAAAATCAAGATGAGTGCAAAAGATTGAGAGATGGAGAGATGCAGGAGAGTTTGAGAGAGATGAAGGAAAGACAACAACACAAGAGAAGAGAAGAGATTAGGTGCAGGGTTAGGATTTTTAATTTGTGCAGAGAGAGAAAAAAGGTAAAAAAAAGTTACTTTTAAGTTAAATTTTTTTTGCAAAAGATAGTTTTGAGATTATATAAAAAGTTGGAGGTGCAGGGAAAAATGATTGGAGATGCAAGAGAAATCTCCCATTGTTATTTCTGATTCAGGGCATAGTCCATAATAACGGCCCAAAAGCCCAAAATCCTCTGCAAAATAAACTACATCAGTTGTTGGTTTCTACCCCAATAACCTCAATACAACTTCATACAGAGTGTGTGAGCAACTACATTTCATCATTTGCTTTCTATACTAAATTTAATATTCTGTTAGAATATTACTGTTTTAGCCTTTAAGAAAAGTAAACTCTTTCCTGCACATTTGTCTGTTACTTCGGATTATATAGGTGTTAATGGAAATATCCAAATCCACACAACCTAATCGTTCTAGTAGGTAGTAGATTAGACAAACATTGTTCCGTTTTATCAGACCAAGTAACACTATAACACAACTGTCCCTTGTACAAGTTAGAACTAAGCTTAAAAGCACAAACAGTAGGAACCCATAAACTAATACATCTTTATAAGCATAACCAAGTTTTTTAAGGTGGGGGAATCCTAGATCAGTATCAACTATCAAACTTGTGAAATCAAATATAACAGTTACCAGGGCACAAAATCTATTCTATGTTACTCCTCTCCACGCATGTCAGTTAAACCATTAATCACCACCTACTTGCCTCTTCCAGGAGTCTTCCACGATCAGTTCATCAACTCCCCAATCCTCGTAGCTGCAGAAATTGTGAAAAACAATAATAGTAAGTATGGCATAAATGGGACTACCTAACTTGTATAATGGACAGTATCTACCTTCCATCAGGCAAGTAACGCCGGATTGTAAAGGGTATTTTTCGCTCACGGAGTTCCTTCATAGCAATCTAACATATTGGAGAACACGATGTTACATGTTATATAACAGAGCTTACAAACAAAACATGTATAGCGCATGAATCAAACATTTGGGATAATTGGCATGAAAAGAAAAAGCTCAATGTATATTGATGGTAAGTAAATTGCCCAATAAGTAATCAACTTATTTCTAGAATGGTGTGCACAGTGCACTCTTCACTATGTAAGACTGATTCAAAAAAAACTTGAGAATAAAAAACTTCACTGCCACAGTACACTATCGTCTAAAGGAGACTATGTAAAATCCTAAATGAATATATGACTGATTCAATATTGTAAGACTGAATCAGTTCGTATTACTAGTCAGTTTAGGTTAATAGTTTAGCGCCGGAAGTAGATATTGTGCAGGCAGAGACTTAATAAATACTTAAACTAAATAACCAAATACTAAAAAGGGTATGTTATTGTCAAACTAACAAACCAATCTCAGTTATGCCCAGCACCGATAACTTTTTCTTAAAGGGAGCTAGAGGCAAAGAAAGGCAAGCTATAATGGGGGAAAGTAATCAACAAGCAGATTAAAAAGTCATAACTATAATACTTCCCATGTAAATTGTTCTTCCCAGGTTAGGAATATCTATTAAATATAAATTAAAAAGAATATATTACAACTTCAAAGGGCATAATTTATTCTGTTATTCATGCAGCACATCTGTGCAACTGCAGGGTTCCGTATAAACCAAATTTCAAGAACACCCCATTCAATCAAGGATCCAGATATTTGGTAAGAAAATAAGGTCAAACTGACGTATATTTGAAAATTCAAAACTACAAGTTTAGCAATGAAATAATCAGTGAGCTGAAAAACAATAACTTAACCAAAACAAGTTATCAAATTGCAAAGGAAAAAAGAAGATACCTCAAGTGGATCAGTTTCCCCCTCCAATTCGACCATGACAGGTGCATTCATACTGTTCAGCCAGAAGAATTGTAACATGTTAGAAATAATTAATAAGCATAATCTTAAGCTAACAAAGTCCTGAACCAAACCTGATTTGAAGAGCTCGGGTGCCCAAAATCCTAGCACGCTCGTACTTAGTCATATATTTCGAGGTCTTTCGAGGGCGGTCCACTTGTTCCTCTTCCTTATCCTCAGTGTCAATAGGATCTCCAGTTAATTCGTCATTTTTGTTTTCCAAATCCTCCTCCGCACCTTCCTGCAAATCAATCATCCCACCAGTCAATAATTCCATTAATTCATCCCAGAGCATATATCAGTTGAATAATACAACAAGGACACAAGACAGAATTATTTACCTCAATCTCAGGCTCTGGTGGCTCATCCTCGTACCTGTATGAGCACACTTTAATCAATGAAAAATCATTCAATAGAAATATATAGATTACAAAACAAACTCTATCTGCAATCGAAGCACGAAACATAATTTCTTGGCAGAGTCTTGGAAGAAAAAGACAAATGTGATCATCAAACACCACAGATGAGCATTTGAAAAGCTTTTATGTCGCTTGAATATTAAAAAAAAAAAAAAAAACTACTACAGTTTACCATAAACCCTAATTTCAATACACAAATTGATTTGGTAAAACCCTAGTTAGTCCGTGAGTGCAGATGAGTGAGACAGTAAAGTAGAGAGAAAGAAAGAGAACCCCATGTCCATGTCATCATAGTCTTCGTCGGCCATGGTGGGCAGAGAATGAAAGATACCCTTTTCTCTAAGCTTAAACCTGTGTTTGTGCCTAAAACCCTCACAGGAAGTAACTGATGTACTAGAAATTTCAACTATCAGTCTCAATATGTAATAAAATAATTTACACGTATATTCCTATCTTACCCTTACGTTATAAAGATATAATTATTTTTTGTTTTGGGCGTTTTGAATTTTAAGATCAATTCCATAATTCATGATAAATTTACTTTTTTGAAACTTTATTTTCACGAGTTACTTAAAGTTTGTTTTTATTTTCAATTTGAAATCCTTACATCTTTAAGTATACTTTTTTATAATATTATTTTTAATTTTTAACTTTTAATTTTTAATTTTTAACTTTTAATTTTTAATTTTTAATTTTTAATATTTCAATAATTATTATGCTGTATGTGTAATTTTTACCCTAGTGCCATTTTGTTCTTCAGATTGTAGTATTACTTTATACTTTATTAGAATTAATTATATTTATTATTACTGTTATCTTTATTTGTTTTGAAAAAATGTTATAAATATATGATGTATACATTTTATAGTAAATATTCATCAACATTTTATTAATATTGTAGTATTATCAGTATCACACGTATTTTCAGACCCTTAAAATCCACTCAAAACTCCATCTTAATGGATTACATGTGTCAAGACAGGGGATCCGAAAATCATATAGTAAAAGACAGGTGTGTGATGCAGATTGGACGTTCGGTTTTGACGGTAGAAGCAAAACTCAAAGTTTTCAAAAATGCACGACACTTCTGCATGCACCCTTCTTTCCCAAAAGTTTTGAACTTTCATTTTATCCTCCTTCTCTCTGAAAACCCCCTACTTCTCTCTAAGAAATCTTAATCTTTTCTTCTTCTGATCACCACTCAGACACCGTCTGAACACTCCCGGCGTCGAGGGCGTTTGTTTGAACCGATCAGTTTCGGATTCTGGACTGGTAAGTTAATCTCTCTCAGCCGAGTGGTTTTTCTGTACATGCAAACTCAGTTTTCGGTTACATGAGTTCCTTAACCCATTTCTGAACGCCTTTCTGGTCTTTCATTTGGTTAGTTTCGTAAATCGTGATCGTAGTTTTCTAAGAAATTGGTGGTGAGCTATTCTGTTCAAATTGTGAACGTTCGGTCACGCTTAGAGGTAAGGGAAGCTTATATAATTTGATTTTATGTTCGTTTTGAATGGATGCATGTTCGTTGATTTGCTGAATGAATATGAAATATGATTGTTGCTATGTTTTGACTGTATGAAGTATGAATATTTACTATGATATGGATGTATGAAATTATGAAGATAGATGTTGAGAAATGAATTGATATAAAGAATTCTAAGTATGTAATTCCATATGAAAATTGATGTTCGTCACTGAAGGTCTTTGACCGTTCGGTTTTCTTGTGGACTCGGTTGGAACTGGATTCTTTCATTTGAATGGAATTCCAGTTGAGGACCGAGCGTCTTCGTTTAGTAATATTTGTATATAAGCATTCAACCAAGGATATTCGTTCCTTGGTATTCTGTTATAAACTTAAGTATATCTATATGTATTTGTATATATATTGTTAGTCTTGAACACTACTTAAAAGGTATCTTATATTTATCAAGCCTTTATTCTATAATACTAAGTAGTGCTCGGTCTTATACCAAGCGCTCATACTAAGTAAGTGTTAGGTCTCACACCAGGCGCTCGTTCTCCTTTCCGTAATCTATCTTGATAATAAGAGTGTTCGTCCAAACTCAATAGTGTTCGCTCTCTATAGTGCTCGGTCTTCGACTGACATTCGGTTTTATTGATGTTTAACTCATTAAGAAGCTAAGTATTTATTGACATTCGGTTTCTTCATATGATTCCGTCAAGTACTATTATTTGATGTCCTACAGTGTTTGTCTCCATTGGTTTCGGCCTAGAGTTTTAGTACTCGGCCTAGGCTTTACGGTGTTCGGTTTGGACTCTCAAGAGTCAGTTCATTAAATTGGCTCACTTGGTAAATAACGTTCGATTATATTAGTCTATGAAAAGTATTATTGTATTCGATTCATTTCACAACCAGTGAGTAACTCTCTTGATTTGATTTGTTTTGAATCGGAGACATCTTGGTCTCACTCCAAGTGTTCGGTCTTGTTCTGGATTAAAAACTAAAGTAAGGTATTTGGTATCCTAAGGGATCATTATTCAAATTGGTTCAGTTGAGGTTTTAATAATGAAAGATGATGGAATATGATATGGATTAAATGACTTTGGTTATGAACGATTATTCCGGGGAGGAATATCTCATGAATGTATATTAGAATTGGTAAAGTATGAATGTGGGCATGCTAAGATGGCGGTTCATCCTGATATTCCGTGATTACTCGTTTCTCACGTAGAGAAGGGTAAGTCATGTGTGGGAATGACAGGAGGTCCTAGCCCTTATGGTTAATTTGGACGGAACGGACTAACCTTAGGTGACAGCTGTTGAGGGTATCCCAGTTACTACATCACCCGGGTGCACGAAGGTCGTAACTACACAGAATTCATACAGTCCGGACAGTCAGAGTCTAGTATTAGACTTTGCATGAAAGAGTTAATGAGTTATCTTGTTTAAATTGATTGAATGAGATATATATTGATAATTGAATTAAATTACATAAGCTTACCCTATTTCCTGTCTTGTCCATTTTGTACGTTCGGTGGCTGTCCTTATATTGCAATGATCATCCGTGTGGATGTGAGCAGAAGGAGAAACTTTACTGGAAGAGGCGTTGGAAGAAGAAAGTTTGGTCGAGGTAGAAGTTAAGACCGAACAGTAGAACCGTTCGGTCAGAAGTTAGTTTTCTTTGTATGATAACCATTCGGTCATTTGTTGTTTTCTTCTTTTTTTTGTATGACCGTTCGGTACGTCTCTGTAAACCGTTCGGTCTAGATTGCATATTTGTACAATTTTAATTTATCCGTTATCTTGTAAGGTCGTTCGGCCATAAGCGTACGTCTCATCTTTTGTAAGACTGATCTGAAATATTATTAATATGTGATTATTTCCTTATATAACTTTTATACTGTATTTTTTGGATGTTACACATAGAACTTTTAAACAAGTATTTGATGAATAACCTGCAAATAATGGATTAAATTTTTTATTACAAATCAAATAATGAATAAACACTAATAGTTTTTAATCTAATCCATTGTGATCCTTATTCATTACCCCTCAAATAATCTTAAAAAAACAAAGTCTTTATGCTTTATTTGTTTCTAAGATATGCAAAGATAAAAGACTACAAAATACTATAAAATTGATAATTTTAAAGCTGAAAACACAAACGCGAATGTAATTCTTATTTAACTTTCACTGCGAACATGCAAAAATTTGCGAAGAAAGTGTCAATCTTTAACCGTAACAAGTGATATAATAATTTTAATTGATTAAAACAATTAATACTAAAATATTATATAATAAAATTAGTTTATTTTTATAAAAAAAGTTTTAATGTTCACATTTTTAAATTTTTTTATATATTTAATTTAATTTTAAACTTAGTTTATATTTAGTTTAATTTTTGTTATCATTTACAAACGCATACCTTTTTCTTGTTTTCAACGTCTGTGACTCCCCTCTGAACCACCGTTTCACAACTCAGGTAAAACTGAGCCAGTCGTGTGATGCTTGGTACTAATGAGAGGATGGATACAAATTAAACTCATTAATTTTTCATAAATAATGCCATTGACACGTTTGATATGAAACTCTTGAATTTAATTGGACTTCCATGAGATTATGTGATTCCAGTGACAGTACCAAAGCATCCATTTCCCTCTGTCTCAAAATGTCAGGTTTACTTTAATGACCAAAAAATATAATACCTTTTATTTTTTACTTTAATAAAATCTTATAAAATTTTTATTTTTTATTTTCACACCGATGTTACAATAAATATATAGATATGAACTAATTAATTAAAAATTAGCACATGGTAAATGTTTTGGGTTTAAAATTAAAGTTAACTATTTGATCCTTGTTGTCTCGTTTCAATTTTTTAACCGTTGAGAAATTTTTTATGTTTCTAAATTGTTTAGATGGCATTAAGATACATGCCAAAATAAGATTAATTAAAACAAATAACAATGTTATAACTAATGTGTAATTTATATTCTTATCTTAAATATTTATTTATGAATATTGTGGTTGACCTCTTATTAGGGTCGCTAACTACGAGTCAATTGTGAATACACGTTTTAACCGTTAACTGGTTTTATAGTTGATTTGATTGGTATTGTTTAAACTGATCGGTCTGTTGTATGATCTGTTAGGTGACCATTTAAACTCAACAACTTGTCATTTCAGGTGGTTTGGTTAAATTTAATTTATCATATGATCAAATGATATGTTAGGTGACTATTCAAACTCAACAACTTGTCATTCAGATGGTTTGGTTGATCATTCGGTTTGATGTATGATCGAACGATTTGTTTAAGATCAACAACTTGTCATTCAAAAGGTGTGGTTGATCATCCAATCTCATGTATGACTGAATGATCTATTGGGTGATCGTCCATATGTGATCATTGTCTGATTTATAATTAATTGATGATACAATAAATATATAATTAATAAAAAACAATTAATATCATTTTTAACTTAAAAAATAAACACAATACTTAAGCAATCAAACAAAAGTGGGTGAACTAAATTTATATTTGTGGAGTAATAAATATTTCTCTTTAACATAATTTGGATTCATGTTTAACAAAATTATTGAAAGTAGTGAAACATTTTATTTCATAAGAGTTTGCATTAATAATTTTCATTTTCTTGTGTAATAAATGTATTTACATTTTCAGTTTGCATTTAAGATAGATGTTACACAATATTTTATTTATGCTAAAATAATTAGTTACATTCATGAATATATACAATTTTAATAAATAAAAACTTTCCAAACAAAAAATATATTACGCTTAAAGTTATAAAAATCTCATGTTTTATAAACAAACATTTTTTTTACTAGAATAATCTAGATAATAAAATTTTTCCTAAGAATATTTTTTACTCTGTTATTAACCATTTACTTTACCAAACAAGAGTTATTAAATAAACGCTTTTCGGTAAATATTTTATTTACTATTATTTCAAATCAATTGAAAAATATATATTAAATGTAATTTTAATTTCCTTTGAACTCTGATACGGTGATTCCGATCCTTATATTTTAATATTTGAAAATTCATTATTTTAATATACTATTGATTATGTTTTATTTTAGTTCAATTAACCATATAAATCTTATGTATACCGTTAAAGTATGAATAAACAAGTAGTTCGAAGTAAAAAATATTGCCAAAGTGTTCGTTAAAAAAATATTTTTTAACATTTTACACGTGTATTTTTTACTATTTTATTATTTATTTATTATTGAATTGATGTATTATAAAAGAATAACATATATTCTGTGAATATTGTAAAAAGAAAAATCTGTGTATCATTACCCATTCAAAAATCTCTAAAAGTATTAGTGATTTCTTTCAGTATTTAACAAAATAATTTAATCAGTTAAAAGATGAAAATTGAAAAGTAAACGTTATAAAACTAAAAATTGGATCAAAATATAGATTTTCTTTTTTTCTTTTTGAGAGGTATATTGTGAATAAAAAAAATTAAAAATTGTAGATTTTGAAAGAGTATATATTTAAGTCAAGAAGATATGAAAAAAACTCATAATAAATATTACTAATTATTCTTTATAAGGAGAAAATAATTTCAATAACTGAGGAGATGAGCTGACCTGAGTTGTCTGTCAGAAAGAAAGATACATACAAAGAGTGAATGAAATAGTTTTTAACTGTGCTTGCTTGCATATATAAATGCACATCATTACCATCTTCTCTATTACAAGAATCCAAATAGCGATGGCCAATACTGATTCTTCTTCCCCCACCATTTTCAACGTAAGAAAAACGCCAACCTTCATCCTCCTTCTTCTTCTCTGCATCGCCTCCTACTTCCTCGCCGCGTACCACCAAGGAGCGCCCCTCCTCACCACCGCCTCCCTCTACCTCTCCGCATCGTGCAACCACCTCACTGCCCAGACTTCTAGAACGTTCCCACGCTGCAGCGCCAACTTCAGTGAGTACACGCCCTGCCAGGATCCTCATCGGTCTCTAGGGTACAAGCGGCACAGAATGATATACCGAGAGAGGCACTGCCCCGAGGAGCCCTTGAAATGTAGGGTTCCTGCCCCTCATGGATATCGAAATCCCTTTCCCTGGCCCGCGAGTAGAGACCGTGCGTGGTTCGCTAACGTCCCCCACCGTGAGCTCACCGTGGAGAAGGCCGTGCAGAACTGGATCCGCTTCGAGGGCGAGCGCTTCGTTTTTCCCGGTGGCGGAACCACCTTCCCCAATGGCGCCGATGCCTACATTGAGGACATCGGAAAGTTGATTAATCTCAGAGACGGCTCCATTAGAACTGCTCTGGACACTGGTTGTGGGGTAATTAACCTTCTCTCACTGTTTTCTCCCTAAAAATATTTTCTTTCAATTTTAATAAATCAATTAAAACAAACCCTACTTATATTTTTCAAAGTAATTATTCTACAAATGAATGACTATTAGCCATCTTTTTTTTGGGACAATAGATTCATCAATATTGTAAAAAGTTACACATATTCACACAGGTTACATTTGTTAATGGAAATCTGGCAATTCAGATCTTTAACACCTATTTTAAATTTGATTTATGTTCATGGTAGATACAATTCAACCTTTTTTTTATGCTGATTAAGGTTTACGTAATGAATAAATTAGTTAATGAAAAGAATAATTCATTAGGATATTTTTATACTGTTGTTTATTTTATCCTTCATAATTATTGCATGTTTAAATAGATAATAATTATTTTTTTCTACAAAGACACTTAATAATAAATATTTCTATAAATATTTGATGAACTCATAATAATTTTTTTGTGTAATAGCTTTACAGTACGTGATGCATCATGTATTTAATAGTAAAAGGATTTATTTTGTGTGAGTATTTATTTAGAATAATATTAATATGGTTATCATTATTATACTAAAAAAGTAAATAAGAGATTGTTTGGAAAGTTAAAAAAGTTTAAGCGTGTACGTGAGTTGGTTCCGAAATAAGAAATAAGGAAGTGAGAAGGCATTTGCTTCTAATGTTTATATGCGGAGTACGCGTTGGATATTGTGTAAAACTAAGGTATGTTCACATCACACGTCACGTTTTTATGATTTTCGACAAAGGAGTCAACTCAAACCAATTCTAACCGCTATTCTTTTACCTTAACTGTTTATATTTAATATTAAATTTCTGACCATACTTTCCATACTTGGGTTTTTTAAGCTGTATCAGTATGTTACAGCTCAAAATATTTATTTATTTATTATGTATTGACCGTTTTATTTTTATGATTTGTTTCAAATTTTTAATACTTAATTAATAATAAATAGTTAATAAATAAACATTGACATTTTTAATTTATAACTAATACATTGTTTTCAACTTATAAAAGAGTTTCATTGTTATATTTTAAAAAATTGAAAGACTTAAAGAGTCATCCTGTTGTGTTTTTAAATTAAATATTTTATTTAATTTTTTATTAAAAAATGTTGTTTGAATAAAACAAAGGTCTAAGAGAAGCAAAGTAATTAATCCTTTGTTTAAGTGTGTAAAAGACTTCACATTGACTGGTGAATACATTTTCATTATTGGTTTTCTTATCCATGAACTGAGAGAGTAGAAGACCGAAGCAATTGGATGTGTTGGATAATCGTTGTTTTCGCTTGGTGGTTTTCTTAAAAGCATATAACAATGCGACAAAAATGGCTTGGAGCCAATGGTTGCAGTTTACCTATTTTGGTTCTTTAAAAACATTTTAAAATGATAATTTAAATTCGGAAGTGTGTTACAGGATAGCTTAATAATGAATAGTGTATATGCAGGTGGCTAGTTGGGGAGCGTATCTTCTCTCGCGCAATATACTAACATTGTCAATGGCACCAAGGGACACCCACGAAGCACAGGTTCAATTTGCCCTTGAGCGTGGAGTTCCTGCACTCATTGGAATTCTTGCCTCTAAGAGGCTACCTTTCCCTTCAAGAGCTTTTGACATGTCCCATTGCTCTCGCTGCCTCATCCCATGGGCTGAATATGGTACTGTATTATTGTGCTACATCATCAAACCACAAATTATATGATATATATTTCAGACCTTGGGTTAAGTCATGACTTGTTGAACCAGATGGAGTTTTTCTCAACGAAGTGGATCGAGTTCTACGCCCTGGTGGGTATTGGATTCTGTCTGGGCCACCAATCAACTGGAAGAAATACTGGAAAGGGTGGCAAAGAACGGAGAAGGATTTGAACGAAGAGCAGACCAAAATTGAGGAGGTAGCCAAAAGCCTTTGCTGGAACAAGCTAGTGGAGAAGGATGATATAGCTATCTGGCAAAAACCCAAAAATCATTTAGATTGTAAGCTCGCACAAAAGAGGTCTTTTTGCAGTGCACAAAATGACCCTGACAAAGCCTGGTTAGTCCAACCTCCTTGCATGTGCTCTGTTTACTGTTGACGTGTTCTTCTATAATTATTTTGGTGCTCTTCAGGTATACCGATATGCAGACATGTTTGACTCGTCTTCCTGAAGTTTCAAACAAAGAAGAAACTTCGGGTGGGGTGGTGGATGATTGGCCAAAGAGATTAAAATCCACCCCACCGAGAATTTATAGGGGTACCATAGAAGGGGTTACAGATGAAAGCTTTTCAAAAAATTATGAGCTGTGGAAGAAAAGGGTATCATATTACAAGACAGTAAACAAACTACTAGGAACCGGGAGATACCGTAATCTTTTGGATATGAATGCTTATTTGGGTGGATTTGCTGCTGCACTGATTGAGGACCCTGTTTGGGTTATGAATGTGGTTCCTGTTCAGGCTAAGGTTGACACACTTGGATCAATATATGAACGCGGGTTGATTGGAATATATCATGACTGGTAATTAGCAGAATAAAATATCTCGTCGCATGTTTCATGAATCTCTCTCCATATATAATATGTATGAATGAATCGTTTGGTTGTCATGCAGGTGTGAACCAATGTCTACTTATCCTAGAACTTATGATCTAATTCATGCTGATTCAATGTTCAGTCTTTACAGTAACAGGTAATATGTTGGTTAAGAAGACATATTTCTTGGAGAGACGAGTTTTTTAAGTGTATATTCTGACAATGTAAAATGCAACTAACAAATTTGTGTGTTGTAGATGTGAGTTGGAAGACATTCTGTTAGAAATGGATAGGATTGTTCGACCTGAAGGATGTGTTATCATACGAGATGACGTTGATATGTTGGTCAGAGTAAAGAGCATCGTGAATGGATTGGAATGGGACAGTATAATTGTAGACCATGAAGATGGGCATCTTGAGAAGGAGAAAGTTCTATTTGCTGTGAAGAAGTATTGGACGGAAAATTAATTATTTGTTGTATTGATTTTTTGCTTTTAGTTTCCTTTTTTAACTTTTTTAAATTTATTTATTTTTCCTTTTTACTTATATTTTTTTGGAAAGGTAGGGGTACATGCGAGCACTTTTTTTGCAATGCAAAATATAACTGTGAAAAGTGCAACTTCTAGGTATGGTTGTGTTATAATTGAAGCTCACTTTTATAAGATCTATAAATACTCCTTGATGGAAATTTAGAAAGGGTATAACTCTCAAATGAGTGATTTGATCATTGAAAACACTTAAGCATGTGAATCATAGCGTCGGGTGCCACTAAATCACTACCTTAGCAAATAGCTCCAGGGCTATGGGCGTTGAGCATCACCCAATTACCGTTGGGCGCTCCTTTGACAAAGAGCTCCAAAAGGAGATTGCGTTGGACACTGACGAAGAGGCGCTAGCTAGTCTTGGCGTTGAGGACGAGTTTGCTATATTCTATGTTTTTAAATTGTTTGAATGAAAATCCTTGAGAATTTATGAGAATTGGTGGATGCGAATGTTTGGTATGAGAGTCAAAGGAGTGGAAAGGTGGAAACTTCACATTATATTATTGTATTGTTATTTGAGATTTGGGCTTCTAAGGAAGTGTCAATCTCGGTCAGATTTGCATGTATTATATGTGTTAGTGAGAAACTGTCTTATATTCTATAATTAGAGTTTAGATGATTAGAGTGGAAGAATATTCTTATGACAGGATAAGCATGAGATATTTTTTCTAGCTAAGTCATAAGTTAACTTATCCTAATCATGTGGGGGTTGAGACGATGTGGAGATTGAGATGGTGTAATTTAGTATGATGGGTCTTAGTACTTTGTTTCACTTTTGATGACACATGTAAGAGTTTCAATATTTAAACCAATCAACATCAAAGTTTACTTAATTGTAAGGAGACTTAGGTCCCAAACTTTTTTTCACACATTGTTCATTAAAATATTATAATATACTTTCAATGTTTTCTATATGAGTATTCATAAAATTAATTTCTTAGAGATAAAACTCAAACCACTGTTGAATTTTAAACATAAAGAAAGATGATAATGTTTTTAATTATCTCAACTTCCTTTTAATTAAATTGTAAAATCTATCGTAAAAATATTCATCAATAAATTTGAGTGTAAAGAATTTAGTTATCTATTATTATTAATTTTAAACTAGTCATAATTTGAAAATAGAGACTTAGAATCATTAATGATAAATAGATAATGTTAAAAATCACTTTAAATTATAATTCACAAATTGATTACAATACTTTATTAAATAATAAATATTATTTTATATACTAATAATTTTTAATCTGTAAAATAGTGTTTAATTTAGACAACATTATGTCTAATTATATTTTGCCTATAAATTTAGTTGTTATTGAACATATTTTTTTAATATATATTAAATTATTCTGACCATAATATGAAATTCAAACAAAGTTAACGAAATTAAATTATTTTATCACAATTTTTTCTTATTGTATTGAAAAGAAATATGTCAATACTTATAGTAATAAACCGAAAATCTAGTCAAAATATTATTTATACGTAAATTAAGATATCTCAATATTACTCTACTAAAATGACAAAATGACACAAATACATTAGCCAAGTATTAAGATACCTGGATCAAGTTAATTCATTCCCATTGATATATATAAAATCTCATTAAAATGTTACAAATGTGACACTATTTACAATATGTGTATTGTTAATTTAATATTGCGTTTATTACATTCTTTTATGTATCTTTGACTTAAGTGTTAGAACGGGGAAATGTTCATTTTAATTTTATAAAAATATCTCAACTTTATAGTACATTAACCCTTAATGAATTGCACCTAAAATTAACATCAATATATCAATTAAATATTAATCACAATCTCTAGTTTAAATTAATTAAATACATGAATTTTTTGACTTGACTAGATTTCGGTTGATATAGCGGAACATTTTGATTTCTTTTTAAAAATGAAAAAGAAAAAAAAAACAAATTAATTTAAATAAAGTTTAAAATTCAATACATATTTTAAATTTTAGATGTAATAATTTAATATATAAGTAAATAAAAGTTATAATACAAATATTTATTTTAAAACTAATATGCTTTTAATTTATTTAAAATATGATGATTATTTTATAAAACGTAATTTATATTTTTCTTTGAAGGCAAACAAGTTTATTCTAAAGGAATCCATTCAATTTAGGCTGTGATTCTTTTATCTTATTCATTTTATAGGCTTTTCTAAGAGTCTATAAGATCAAATGACAGTTTTAAAGACTAGATAATAAATAATTTTGGTAGACTTATCCTTAAAAGATGTAATTCAATAATAACAAAAAAAATCTAATAAAAAACAATAAAATATTTTTTTAGGAAAAATTAAAATTTTATTTTCATTTAATGAATAATTCATTGTTAAATTATTGTAAAGTAAGAATTAAAATAATTTTGTTGCATCGGTAACCTACTTGAGAAAAAAAGATTAATCATAAGCAAAATTCACATATTAAAGAAAAATAAAAATATTATTTAACTAAGCATTTTAAAATTCATTAAAACTGTTAGACATGGCTATAACTCTTTCTTAAATTAGGAAAATAATGAATATAAACAAGTGTGATTACTTTAACTTTACTGATATTAAAAGAATACTACATATATTTAAAAAATATAAATACAAATTATTCAACAATAATAAATTTTATCAATATTTTAAACCATATATAAAATATCATCAGATAATATAAAAAAAGTTAGTTTGTAAAATTTAGTATTACATAAATCAATTATACGATAACTCAATAACATTTTCTTATTTATATATAATACAGCATAAGATAAGAGGAGAGAAAAAAAAATCAAATTACATCTGTATAACTTTAATCAAAGCATGATTCGACACCTTTTCGATTGATTATGCTTTTTTACGTTTTGAAATTTCGTTTCAAATATTATACATACAAAAATTTATATTAATATAAAATTATTTAACACTTTACTCGTAAAGATTAAAATGTACCTAACTTAAAAAATGTATTAAAATATAAATGATTTGATAATTATAAATTTTTATTTAAGATTTAACAAAATAAAAAAGAATAAATTACAATGATATAAAATTGTAATTGAAATGTAGAATTAAAATAATCAGTTATTAACAACCTAACATATAATATTAATAAAATAAATTACAAATCTATAAAATTGATAAAATTTTATTTATTTTAACTATGTTTTTTTATATACAAATTATTATCATTTTATTCCTAAGCAATTGTTCTTTTAAACTTAAGTAACCATTTATAATAAAAAAGAATCACTTACAAAATAAAATAATTGATCACAAAAAATTATAAGAATGATTTTTTGTTTATAATTTTAATAATTTTTTTAATAAATTTAATATGGATTTTATTACATCATATTTCCACCAGTTTTAAATAAAATTTATTCCGGTATAATTTGAATTTTTAATAAAAGGATACTATATTATTATATTTTCTCCAATTGTAAATATATGAAAAATTTTATATTTAATTATTTAAAATGTGTATTTAATGTTTATATTATATATATATTTTTAAAAAAATTGTATATAAAACTTTGTCTTTCGATGCATTTTATATTATTCTAATATTTATATAAATAAAGTAATCACACATTAAATTTATATTATATATAAAATATAATCGTTATTATATCATATTTATTTAGCATTGTTTTTTAAACGAATTATGTAAAAGTCAATTCCTAAAATGTAAAAGTGATATAGCTTAAATGAAAAATATATTCCAAAAATTACAATGACAGTATATAAAATTTACATTTAATGTAAGAAGAGAGGAGACCAAGAATAATCTAATAAAAATCTTTTAGAGGAGGCAAAAGCAATTTACTGTAAAGAACATTACATGTTATAATTACTCTTAAAAAATTTAACTGTAACTTTGAGTTTTAACTGTAAATTTTGTATGAAGAGAATCAGAAGGGTTTCTCGTCTTCTCCAATCTTCATCTTGCTAGGGTTTGCAGAGTTGACATTTCAGGTCTTTCTTCGAGCTCACCAACTCTCAGGGATGGAAGCACCTATAATTCACATATTTCTGCAATTATCTATATTTGAATGCATCCTACGATTCAACACATAAAGTTCTCCGATTTGATTATATCCCAAAGGTCATGGACGGTGTTGGTATCTTGTTCCTTCCAAGGATTACTTGCTCTGTCTCAAACCCTAATTGTGCTACATCGTCTTAGATTCCTAGGCTACTTTGTTCCTCTCTATAACTACCGGTAAGGATGTTTGCACTGGAATAACAATAGCTGCATAATGTTTACTAGCACTGATTGATGATAAATTGTTATCCTCTAAAAAAATTACAGTACCACCTTTTGATCTTGATTAAGGATAAATTGCACATTGCGCAAATTGCAAAGTGAAACTAAGTGGATTTTGAAACAATTATTTGTTGATTTAGTATGAACTTAATTCTCAGCAATTGTTGGGTTTAATTTCTGATCCATATTTTTTTATGAGTTAAGCAAATTGAGTTAAAAATCAATTATATATGCATTTTTTACACTATCATTCAATCAGAATGAGTGAGTATGGTGAGTTAGTAGACTTTTTTATAAATGTTTATCATTAATTTGCTCGTCTCCCAATTGGGTGAAGGTTATCAATGGATGGGAATCGAAATGGGTTGGGTATTTTGCATGAAGGTGGTGTTGATGTTGGACCTGAGATGTCCAATAACTTGGACTTGAATGTGGAACAGAACTGTTGTAGTCCAAACATTGCTCATGCTAGTGACAATCAATCTTGTCCTCCATCAAAAAGTGTACACAGCACAAATACTGTTTTGGGAATTGGTGCAGAATTCGAGTCTGATGATCATGCATACCGATTCTATAATAAGTATGCGACTTTGGTGGGTTTCAATGTTAGAAAAGATTGGATAAATAGGAGTAAGGTGCATGGTCAGGTGGTGTCTAGAAAGTTTACCTGCTCCAAAGAGGGGTACCGCAGGAAAGACAAAA